TAAATAACAAGCCAGCATGAAAGGGAGGCAAAGCTGGTGATGATGTGCCCCCTCTCTGGAGAGAATTGTTAAGGACAAGGGTGAGTCTTAAGCTGGGTCTTAAAGGAAACCATGGAGAGGGTTTGATAAAGAGAAGCTGCGCAATGTCTTAGGTGGTCTTCAGAAAAGTAGAAGTCTGCAGCCATGGAGATGACCATGACAGTGGCTTTGCCCCAGAAGACTGGCCTGGAAACACTTTAGAGAGAGATAGTGGCAGCTTTGGTGTATTAGTTTACATTTGGGGAGTTGTGGTGGGCAGACAGAGTCAAGTGAACCTGTTGTAAAGGTGAGTTCCCCATGGATAGAAAAGACTGAACAGGTCAGAGGCAATTGTTGTGGCATGTCCAGATGTGTTCAGGTTTGATATCAAAGAGGACAGGGAGCCAAGGGAGCCTTTTGCCCATGGCAGTGACATTATGAAAACAGTGTTTGAGGAAGGTGATCCCATAAGTCCTGTTCAGGAAGAAGGGATATGGGGAAGAGATGTGCTAGGAGTTTATTTAACATGATCTTAAATATGAACTATGCTGCTTATGCCTGTTCAAAATATACCCCTGTACTTCCCTTAGAAAGTAGTTTGTGTTAACAAGCCTTACCTGTGCCAGTTATTGCCTCAATACTAGGCCAACACTGCATGGGCTTATTTCAACATTTCTTAGAATGTATTAGTGAATACTCCTCTAAGAACTGTAAATCACTTACTATGTTTATATTTGGCTTTTGTATTTACAGGTTATTAAAAAAAAAACATAAAACTTGTATTTTGTTTTTCTTTTCACTTAAAGGATCCAGAAGGGTCAGAAATTGCTGTGGTAGGGGAAAAAAATTGTACTGGAATTATTACTTTTCCTGACTTCAAGATTCCATCTAATCCTAAGTATTTTAAATTATTTGTTGGTAAAGTTGTTTCTCTTAAAAGTAGTAGAGTTGCCTGGGGTTATTGAACTGTCTGATGGAGCTATTTGCATGTAACTGAAAGGTTCTGATGTAAAAAAAGTTTGGTTTTGGTTGTTCTTATCAGACCTAGTGAATGTCCTAACCTAAAGGAAGATGGTACCTGCTTGGGCTCTTTTGCTTTGAAGTAAGGGGCCTGGTATAATACTGCCAGCTGTAAGTACTAAGCTAGTCTGCTCTATTCTATTTAGCCAGCACCTTCCATAGCAAAGTCCAGGTAGCGACACTGTGGGGATATGGAACCTACCCCGCAAAGGCTGAGAGCATAATGGAAAAGACAAATAAAAGTACAAATAGAAGATGTCCACTTGCATGTGTTTAATACTCCTTAGAGGTTTTTGAATTTTCTCTGACATTTTAGTTCATATTCCTAGAACTTGGAAGGTATTTTGAAATATGATTTGGGTCTTTTATATTGCATAAATCCTTGAAAATGTAAGGGAACTGACATTTATGGATCTCCTACTATGTGCCAAGCACTTTGCTAGTTCCTTTATCATTCCAATTTTCAAGATAAGTAAACTAAGACTCAGAGAAATTTATAGGCCTATTCAAGGTCATACAACCATTAAAAAGGGGGTGGGGGTTGAAGTGGGAACCTAGATCTCTTTGAGGGTAAAGTTCATCCTTGCTCTTTGCTTCTACCATACTGTCCCTCTAAAAATAATTTCATGCTGGCCTAAAGTTGTAAGTTTAACCTGATCAAATGGTCCTAGAATGTAGTTTCTGGCAAACCATGTAGAATACAGTATTCTATTTATTGATACAGGTATGATTAAGCTTCAAGATTGGTTTATCGACTGAATAATCAATGCTTTAAAAATATTTTTCTAGTTAAATGAGAGTCAATAATATGAAAATAAATTTTAGTGTGTTTATAATTTTTCTTAAAATGTT